TTAAATATTCAAATTCGTCTACAGCGTATCTCAAAAGTTCGTGAGAAAAGTAAATTCTTTTAATGAAACGCTGCCTAGCGACTCTTTGTTGATACTTTAATTTCGGAGTGTTTAAATCGATCGGATATTGCGCTGTCATTTTCATATGTTACTACAAAAATAAGGGGACAAAGACAAAACGTAGTAGGTGTCCCGAACACCTGGTAATTTGTCCAGGTGTTTGCATTCGACTTTTTTTTTACCACTTTTACCGGGAGTCCGTAAATCATGTTGGTCAGGGGGACCATAGCTTAAAAAAATACAGGTAAATCGGAACGAAATGCTCAACAGTATGTAAAATATTTTCGGGAAATCGGGTGACGGTATAGCTGTGGATGTGTACTATGAGAGAAGAATGACTTATATACTCACACCCACATCGACTCTAACACCCTGCTTGTTTTAAATCTTTGTCATTCCGAAGATTTTGTATGTTTTTATATGTCGAGAAATCCTGGCGAACATCTTCTCAGGGAAACCGTAAAAACAGTTTCTGCTTTATGTCTCTTTCCCAAAATAAGCCTAGTGGTGTCATCTCTAGAGCTCATACGATCGGTTTACCTCTATTGCGTAGAAACAAAGCGATTTCATAAGCTGCCTGATCACCGGACTTGACATAAATGCATCGAAAAAGATCTAAACGCTACAAAAAATGCCGAAATTGAAGCATCCGTCAAAAGTAGAAACTTCGCAGTAACACTTTTCATGGAATTAAAAGAATTTAATTTCCCACGAACTTTCAGAACACTCTGTATGTTATTGTTTTAGATAAATCTACATATTTTCGCGATATTAAAAAAGAAATTCCATTCGACACATTCACCTTATCTGAATCATATTTTAAATATCAAACTAAATTCTTTTATGATTCCAAACATATCTTATCTATCTATATTCTAACCTTCAAGTTCTTGAATTTTATCTAAAGCCATATATTTAGCACTTTTTTCTTGATCAATATTTGCTTGTTGTGTAATAATATCTTTTTCAAATTTAAGTTTAATTGCAATTAATTCTTGATATTTTTCATGTAAATCAGTATATGAACGTTCAATTTGTGAACAATTTTTTTGTATATCTTGATGTTGTTTTTTTAAACGTGTATTACTATCAAGTTCAATTTTATGTTTTTCATTAGCTTCATTTAACTAACAATAAAATAAATAATGAATGAAATAAAAACAATAATATATTTACTTGACGTTCAAGATTTGTTATTTTTTCAGTCCATTCTCGATTTGTAACACCCATTTGATTTTTAACTTGTCGTTCATTATCAAATAAACGTTGAACTTCTTCTAAATTACGTTCAAATGTTCGACGATTTTCTAATTCAAGTTCATATTTTCGTTGTGCCTAATTAAATAGAAAATATAATAAATTTATTCGTTTTCTCTTTTCATTCAAACAAACTTCTTTATTTTCTGTAACAAGTACGATATTTTTTCTTTCAAGTTCAAATAATTTGCCATTTAAAACTTTTTCATCTTGACATTTGGCATTTAAATCTTCGTGTAAACGTCTAAAACACAAATGATATTCATAAAAAAAAAAAATAATTTTCTGATTTACCTCATTCGTATCTCTAATTCATTTTTAATTCGTTCACTTTCTTGTAAACGTTGTTCTAATTCTGAATTATTAAAATTATTGAACTAAAATCAAAAAAAAAAATTTAAAAACGAATTTTATTATTCAATTAATTTACATTGCTTGTTGTACGACGATCGATAAATGGTCTAAATCAAAATAAACAATAATTTATTTTAATAAAATCCTATTCGTATAATATCAACAATCATAGTTGAATTAATAATGATAAATTATCCATAAGTGCTATATGTAGTAGTAAAATAGTATAGAATGTAGGGTGATGATTGATTTTAGCTATCATTATCTGTTCTTATCGTATTGGCATCTTAGTAATGATAGAAGCCTGTCATCACTGAGTATTGACTGATCGATTATCAGCACCAGTGTAACTATTATCAATATGTCAAAGAGAATATTTCGAACATGCAAAAGTCCTATATATTAGTTAGAGACATTTGTATTTTTCTTACTGTTGTTCATTAGAAAATGAAAATCCAACAAATGATAATTGATTGCCAACAAATGTTTTGCTAACAGAAAATGATTCTTCGGATGGACCATCATTTTTTTCGATTTCATCAAAATTACTTGTATCTTCATCATTTGTTAAGGGTGGAACAATAGGAACAGAAGCTAAACAAAAGAAAATATGTATATATGAACATATGTTAATATTTTATTATAAACCTTTTCGTATTGTTTCCCAAGTCCATTCGTTTTGATTAGTAAAAAATGCATGAGCTTTGATTTCTCCAACACCACCTTTACCTAATCGTGTTGATCTATAATATCGAAATTTATAAAAAATTGTTTTTCGTTTTGTGTATTTATCTTACCGATCGCTAAGAAATGCATAAATAAGTGCACGAGCTTCAGGAGATAATGGTATTTCATCTGGGAAAATGAGGTTTTCTCGATGATTCATAATTTTATGGTATGTTCCAACTAATGATTCAGCATAAAATGGTGTTTCGCCTAACACAAAAAAAACATAGGAATTTAATTTCAAATGAAATTTACAATGTTTACCTAGTAACATTTCATATAGAAATACACCGACAGACCACCAATCTACTTCTGGTCCATAAACACCAGTTGTACTTTGAGATTTTAGAATTTCTGGACTTATATAATCTGGCGTACCAACAGCTGTATCAGACCGAACAAGACCATCCTTTTAAAAAAGAAAATATTTAATAAAAAAAAATTTGTTTTTATTTTTCATCATTTTACTTTATCCATTTTAATACAAGTACCAAAATCTGCTAGTTTTAAATGACCACGAGCATCAAGTAGCATATTATCTGGTTTAACATCTCTATAAACAGAAATAAAAGAAAATAAATAAATAAACAGAAATTCTATATATCCCTACCGATGAATATAGCCCATACTATGAATAGCATCAAGAGCAAGTACAACTTCAGCACAATAAAATCGTGCCGAATTTTCACTTATTTCATATCGTGTAAGTAAGGTAATTAAATCACCACCTGGCATATAATCCATAATCATATAAAGCTAAATCATAAGAAATTTTAAAAAAAAGTTCTATTCGTTCAATTAATTTCTTTTGTACTACATAGCTTTAATTTTTAATTAAATTTCTGCTCCATTTATTTTATATGAAGAGAAAAAAAAATTAGCAGCTATACCTACGCATTGACTGAGATGATAAATTCTTTTCATACTTCAATTTTAACTTACATTCTTAGCATCTTGAAATGCATAATGAAGTTTAACAATCCAATCACTATTTGAAAAAGCCATAATATTTCGTTCTTCCCAAAAGAATGCACTATCCGATCGTTTAAGCTAGAAGAGAAAATTATGTTTTTTGTTTTTTTTCGAAAAAAAATATTTTTTTACCATTTCAAATTTACTTAACGTTTTCATAGCATAAACTTGCCCAGTTCCTTTCCGTCGTACAAGATCGACGGTACCAAATGCACCTCGACCAATAATTTTAATCGTTTCAAAATCATCGAAATTAACTCGTTTATCACGAATTTCTCGTGTTGATGTACAAACTAGAAATAAAAGATATTTAATTTGTAAAAATTCAATTTTATTATGCTTACATTTTCCATAAAATGAATCAAAATTTTTTGTCTTTTTAAGACCTTCACAATCATAAATTAAAGCAACAATTGAATCAAGCAAACTATCGATTGAAATAGATGAACGTGGATCAATAATGCGCTCTTCTAATATACGTGAACGCTGCGCAAAATCATTTCCCGTACTAGCCATATTATTGACCATTCTGTTTTGACATTTAAATAAAAATCATCATTCAGCACCCTTAAAAACAAAAAATAGAAGATTTTTTTTTTTCTATTGTCTAATTAATATTCAAAATAAATGACAAACCTATTCTTTCACATTCATTCATAGCGATGAAAAAAAAAAGAAATCTGAAATTAAAAAAAAACAGAATTCCAATCAAATCAACAAAGAACAAAACAATGCATATATCGGAGAACAACAACTCATCCCTTCCTACACTAAACAAACAAGCAAATATACAGATATATGTATGTATGTATGTATAATGTAATATAATATGACTCAATTTAACAACAACCTAAACGTCAAGTGGACAATTATAATCAACCAATAATGTAACGAGTTATATACGCTATCATACAATGACATCTACCTTAAATAGGATGAAGAAGAAAAAAAAATAAGCATATAAATATCATTTGTTTTGACATATTCTTTTTTATATTATCTTCAATCAATATCAAAAATGATTTATGTTTAGGTATTCATATTTATAGGCATCTGTAAAGTATTCACGTCTAGATGAGAATCTCTATTTATGTTATTAGGAAGGAAATTATTAACTATTTATATATATATATGTATACTTTTTTTTTCTTAAAAAAACTGACAAGTATATTTGACTAAGATATATAGGAAATGTGATAATTTGTTTACTTTAACAGAATAATATTGATGCTTTGTTTGTCACGAAAGTTTTTGTTGAAATATAACAGTTAAACATATGACGATAGTTTCTTGTTAATAATATACGGCACTTTTCCATTAAATATATGTACTATTTTAAGAGTATCTTATTTCTCTATTAAAAATGTGTATACATATTAGATAACGACATGAACTAGTTGTTTACATCGGAAAGATCTTCTTTTTTTAGGAAAGCCATTGATGTACATATTTATTATTCTGAATATCAGTTCAAGATGTATGTTTTTCATTTAAGTCATGAATCTTCGATAGAAATAGAATGTTGAAGAGCATCTTGTTAGAACAACAGACAGTATTTTTTAATTGTTTCTCTACGCAATAGATTGTAATCATTAGTATTCTAATATTAACTTGTTCTATTTTCAAGTACTCTATAAATTTGTAGTTGATATTAATGGTAAACTTGTTGATGGAGTAGGTATTGTTTGCTTTAAATTATCAATATTTCTTCGAGTTTTCTTTTTACGTTCTATACACATATCAAAAAGTCGATGATATGGTGTAAGAATACGATAATTATAAATATTTTTCTTATGAAATTGATTTTCATTATTTTGCATCGTCGATGAAATCCATTGTTTATTTATTTTATTCGTATAATCTTCTTCTAATTGATGAAATGGTGAAATTTTTTCTTCGAAAATTTTTTTCTTATGATTTTTAATATCAATTAAAAATTCATCTAAATATTTCATTTGATTTAAATCACCTAATTGATCTTTTAAATTTTGTGCATAGATTATATATTCTTCAGCATGTTGAAAATCTTTTAATTGAAAATAAATTTTACCTAATAATATATTAGCTTCAATAATTAAAAGTTCTTCATTTGATATAGTTGCATAATCAAGTGCTTCATAAGCATATTGTTTTGCTTGATCATAGTTATTCATATTTAAAGAACAAGAACTTAAATATTGATAAACAAATGAACGTTCATTATTCGATGTTGATTTATTAAACATTTCAAGAAATAATTCTATTGCTTCGGAATATTTATTTGTTAACATAAGACTTCGAGCTATATCAAATGTAGCTCGATAGAGACAACTCTGTTCTTTCAAGGGTAATAATATATCATAGGCTTGCTTATAATTTTCTAAACTTTGATCAAATAATTTAATATCATTGTAAGATTGTCCAACTAATCTGTAGGCTTCTGCAAGCATTAAACGCATACGAGGATCAAGAGAATTATTTGTATTATCAGATGATTGAAGACAATTGATAATTTTCATGGATCGATAGAGAATCTAAGAATAAGATTTATTGAATTTGAAAATTTCTTAATCTACCTCCATATTCTTTTCTTTAGATGAGAGTTTATGTAAATACATGAGTTCTTCTTCAACTATACGAACGAGAGTTGTTCGATCCATTTTTGATGTACATATGAGATTTTCTCGATTAACATGTTGATCATTATGAACACATTCAGCTTTATCGAAAAACTTAAGTTGAGCTTCAACAATAGAAATAGCTCGATATGCTTCAATTTTTGCTTTATTTAAACCAGTAAAACCTTATTAGTAAAAAAAAATATACAGTTGAGAACATTGTTATAATACAAACCAGTCGATGGTTGTTTATCTGTATAAAGATCAATTAATAATTTACGATCTTTTGCTACTTCTACTAAAAGTCTATTCGCTTCATTATCTGTATATTCAGTTAAAGGTTTTTCAATTGAAGGTAACTGTTTTCGTATAGGCAATCGATTAAGTAAATTTGGTTTATTCAATTGTTTTGGTTTAATATTAATTAAATTACTTGTTATTGTTAAATGAATATTAGGATTACAAATTGTACATTCAAGAATTTCTGTTGCTTTCCGAATACCTTCCAAACATGTTTGTTGTGCTGGTTTGATTTTATTTGCACGATGAAAATATAATAATGCTATATATATAAAATAATCGAAATTGATTAGAATAGTAAGCACGTATTATTCAACCTAATTCAAATTCTCCATCTGCATATAAAACTTCAGCTTTTTGTAAACAAACATAATAGAAAAGAAGATTTGAATTTTGTTGTGTATCTTCAATTAAATTTAATGCTAAATCTGTTTTTATTATTATTAAATAGATTAGTTTTTTCTGTTTTTCTATGAATTACCCGTATCTTCTTGAGCTTTATTGATACTACCCATTTTAAGAAAAACACGTGAACGATCAATATAAGTAGCTGTATCATCTGGATTCGATGATAAAGCTTTACTATATTGATCAAGAGCACCATATAATTGATGTCGTTTTTCATAGAAACGACCGATACTTGTTGTTGTTATACTATTTAATATTGATTTCGGTACATGTCGTGAACGAGAAGTATCAATTGTCATATCTAATTTATATATACATAACTTAGAATAATCTGTCGATCATAATTAGCGCGTATTTATTTAATCATGATCAAGGTGTTTAATAATATCATTCTATATTTAAGAAAAACAGAGATATAATTACTATTATTTTTTAATTAACATAAAGAGTTAATCATCGATTGTATTTTTTTCGTGCATAATCAATTGTGCTTAAAGTAAATTTTATAAGATTTCTTTTTTCTTTTATTTCGAAAATCTAATCAAATAAATAAGATTGAAAAAGAAAATGACGAAATAAAAAAAAGTCACAAATCACATATGGAGAATAATACGAAAAGTGAAGTTGAATTAAGTGACTATCAAATTCAAGCAGCACGTCTTAATAAACGTGAATATTGTCGTTTAGAACGGAATATTAATTTAATGTACGATGATTTACAACAACGTTTAATTCTGTTAAAACGACAAGAACGATATTTAAGATGTCATTATACAAATGTTGTTAAAGTTGTTAAACCAAATCGAAGATATCAATTATGGAAACAAGAACATGCTTATGAAATAAAACAAGCTGAAAGAAAAGATTTAATCGGTATGTGATTGTTTACAAATTGAAAATATATTAGTTCTAAAATAATATTTAGAATCAATTGAATTCAAACAAAAATCTCAGTTTAAAACACATCAACAACAATTAATTCCTTCGAATGAATTTTCATCCCGTCCATTATTACTTTTATTACAAGATAATAATGTTGAAAGACCGATTGAACCATTAATAGATTTTACTGAAAATTTTCTTCGTCCAAAAACTTCATCAATTGATAAACGTCGTATACATTCAATGAAAATCACCAATCCTATTTTACCTTCAAAGATATCGACAGATGTTCGAAAATTAATACAAGACAAATCTAATCCTGTACAAAAAATCCGAATTGAAGAATTTGCTTCACAACATCGAACTCGCAAAGGAATCATGCGATCAACTAGTTCTATGAAATAAACTATTGTCGTAATACAAAGAGAGAAAAACAAATGTACATCTGTTTTCATTTAATTTAATGATAAAAATCTGTGATGAAGATTTAGATTTTTCGTTTTATACTCTTAACACATTGTATCATATTCTTCTAGTATGAATGATTCGTTTACTTTTTATATTCATTATTTTATGTATAAATCAAGAAATAATTTTCATGTTACAAATTCCACGTATTATATCAAATAAAAGTTTGAATATAGAAGAATATAGTTCAGTAAAAATTGATTGTCTGCTCGAACAACGTCAATTAGTTGCATGGAGAATTAATTTCCGCTATGATAATACTTATAGGTAGAACATTTTTCTTTCGTAAAAATTTCTATTATTTAATTAGATATTATTATATGAATCCAAGTTTTCGAAATCAATTTTTACAGTCAAATGAAGATAAATCAAGGGATATTACATTTGAAAATAGTATGCAAACAATAATCGTATCGAATGTAATTACCATAATCGATTCGGTTAAACATCAGGTTTTTTTTTAATTATTTAAGGTACGCCAATGGATAAATAATATATATGAAACTATAGAATGTGTTATGTATAATAAACAAATGAATTTATTTGAAAGACGAGTTTTCTATTTAAATATTTATGGTAACAAAAAATGAATTAATTTAATAAATATCATATTTTATTATTCTAGTTTCACCATTTTTATTTTCAGTTAATATTAATAATATTCCTATGAAAAATAAATCAATATTTTCGTTTTCTGATAAACAAAGAATTAATGTTATATGTGAAATTTATTCTTATCCAAAATCAACATTACAAATAAGATTGAATAATCAAATCATTCATGTTCAAGAAACTATTGATTGTTTTAATGATGATCTTTCAACTATTTTATTATCAGATTCATTATGTCTTTCTCAAACAAATTGGCGTATACGTGTACGAATAAATACGACATTATATCTTACAGAAAAACATAATAAACAAAATTTAATATGTTCAGTTATTAATTTTCCCTATGGATATTCATGGAATTATTCTACAGAAATTCGATTCCTGGAGTCGATAGGTAAAAAATATAATCATTAGAAGTCGCACAATTTCTACTAGTTGAAAAGAAATAAATATATTTTAGAACTTTAGTTTGGAATAAGTAGGAAATCCTTGAGAGTCAAACACTTCCTTTTATTTAATCATCTTGCCAGTCAATGATTCCAGTCATTGAACTATTATTAAAGCCGTTGAACGAGTTGATTACTGCTATTTAACATTCTCAATAGTGTAACACAATGATAGAAACGAGGATTTACATATTCTTCTTTTTTGACCTATACATAATCAAATAAAGAATGAAGATCCTGATTACTCTCAGAAGACTAATGCGTAATAAAGTCATAGTTTCTTTTTCCCTATATTATTCTATTCAGCTTCAACGTTGTATAACAAACAAAGTCTCAATTGACATCTAGTTGTCAATTAAGGTTTCAAAGAATTCTACTATTACAACAAAATGTAATGAGTATGAGTTATATTTAAAGAGACCTTAAATTTTTTTTCAATTAGAACTTTATGACGTATAGTTTTTATAAGAAAAAAAAACATTTAAATATTTCATAACGCACTAATGATTTTTTTTCTTCTTTTTGTTCTAGCGTCTATCGCCTTCCAAGTGTGAAATATTATTTTCAGCCGTTACTTTAATTAAAAATGATTATATATATATAAAGAATTTAATCGTTTTGACAAATCTTATTAATACATATTCATCGCTATTTTTAATTATTATAATCCGAATTGAATCAATTATCTCTTACAAAAATAAATATCATAAAAACATTTAATCTGTTAATTTTTATAATTAATAATTGAGCAAGTCTGCTTAGTGTTTATAGTACATTCTATTTTTGTATAGAACATCCATGACTTTTATCAAATACTAAGACATATCTGGTTATTTTCTACTAGTCAACATTTTATTTTACGTTACTCATACAAATATAGTCACATATTGTTGTTATAAAAATATATCATATAGCAAACCAATACATTTGCGTTTATTGACATAAAATAATATAATTTGCGGTTTAACATTAACTTGATACTTATTAGTTAGCTAATATATTTAATTAGTATTCTTTTACTCGAACTCTAGAAATCAAAAATAGACTATCAACTTATACACATATGTGCATGATGTTTTCTGTTAAGAATTTATAAGTCTGACATAGATATGAAGAATTATTTTCACGCATTAATCTTTTGATAATCACGAATTTATCTTGAAGTGAAAAAAAATCGTTTATATATTTGCTCACATGTAATAAGCCCTAAAGAAAAGATTCATGTCGATCAGTACCATTAGCAGAAAAGAAAAATTGATCGATCACATACCCTGCCATTCTGTTCTTTTCTATCTGATATAGAAAATAGATCGTAAGGATTATTTATTTGATCCTTTGAGTCCTTCGCATATTGATCATATTACTTGATGTTGTCATTTGAATGGTATATATTCGTTGATTTCTTTTTTTCTCTCTTCCGTTTATTCTTAATAGAAAAATCTACAAAACTAAGCACATCATCAATATCGTCTATCAACTATTTAAGGTAATTAAATATTCATATTTTATCTATAAATGCAGATGTTTTATTATTCTATCAAAATAGTTTGACAGAGCAAACATTCATCAGTAAGATTATTAAGAAAAAACAATGTTAGTTTTTATTATGATTTATCATAGATTCACTATTTATGACATTGTCAACAAGACAAACAGCAATAGTTAAACAATCTGATAAATTTCTACAAGGTTTGTATGTTAGCTTCATCTTTTCTCTTTCTTTCTTTTTCTTTTTTTTTCCTCACATATATTATGGTAATTTACTCTTATTTTATTTCCTTTTCTATCTACTTCATTCATACACTTATTTCATAGAATATTTTTTCTTTGTAGATAAACAAATTACTTTTATCATCATTTGCATCATATTATTATTAACTATATTCGTCTATTTCATCTATAAAAATAATAAAAGACGAGGTAGTTTTCTATTATTAGATATATATATATACTATCTAAACCTGAATTATTTTTTGTTTTTTTCTTTTCCAGTGTTAACCATAACTAATTTAATTAAACCTATTCAATAGAATTATTTATAAATTTTCTTATTCTATATATAAAGGTAAATTATTTTTAACTTTATGTCCTTAATGGTTAAATAAATAATGAAAAATACACTTGTTCAGAGATAAATTAAGATTTTGCTCGATTCCCTATAGATTGCTCGTCTTTTTATTCGTCACGCAAAAAAGAAAAGATCATCTTTTGATGTTGTCAGTATTCTTGAATAAATTTTGTAGTCCTATAAATGTCTTGGCAAATGTGGATATAAGAGTACTTCAACAACAAATTCTATCTGAGACAGATAGGTGCATCATTATCATTTATTCTTATTTCTTCTTTTTTTTCTTCTTCTAGTTTTGTTCTTTTCTTCATTATACTCACCGATGGTTTCCGTTTTTGTCATTACTGTCTTATCTTAACTTGCTTGACAACTGTCATTTAGTATACATTAAGACAAACACAAATTAATAATGAATTCTACTGTCATGTCAAATTTGGCTGATATGCCATCGGAATGGTTTCGTATATTTCTTATTATTTTATTCATAATTATTGTTCTTATTGGTTTAATTGGTAATACACTTGTTTTATTATCTGTTTCAACACATCATATTAAAATTCGTCGTTCATCAACAAATCTTCTTCTTGTTAATATGTCATGTGCTGATCTAATTATTCTTAGTTTTAATATGCTTGATATAATTCAATTTTCATATGATCATTCATGGCCAACAGCTTGGTACTTAGGTTTATTTTTATGTAAAATGTGTCGTTATTTTCAAGTACTTGGTTGTTATGTTAGTGTACAAACATTACTTGCAATTAGTATCGAAAGGTAAAATTTATAGAAACTAAGAAATGTTATTAAATTCTGTTTTTAGATATATTTCAATAATTCATCCAGTTAAAATTTCTCATGTTAATCGACGTAAACGTCTTTTATTTGTTTTTATTTTAATATGGTCTATAGGAATAATAATGGCATCACCAAATCTATTTCTACTTACATTACATACACATATTAATCGTCCGGAATATTATGTATGTGGTTTATCCGATCATTTGACATATTCATCTATTATCTTATTTTATAAATATATTGAATCAATACTTTTCTTTTATATACCAATTTCTGTACAAGTAAGTTTTGTAGATTTATATTTAAGACATAGTAATTAAAAAAGTTGTTGATAAAGTGTAAAAGTATATATCTTAACAAATAGCAAAGAATTTCATCAAAAATATTGTTGTTGTCATCTCCAGTTATTGAAAGAATATTCCTGAGGGGTACATTTGAGACAATCCATATCTGATATAAAGATGTTCTATTTATCAGACAAGTAATTCTCACTAGATTAATAAAATAAATTCATCCATTTTAGACAGTACTTTATATTATTATTTGTCGTAATATATTCATGGTTGAACGTGCTGTACAAGCAAATTATCGTAGTGAACAATTACAACAATCTACAGCTAGTGATTCTCATCGGCCCTTTTCAGGAACAAAAATGAGTTCATTAGTTCAAACTCCAATCAATGAAAATAATAATAATAATAATATGAGTTTAATGCCAATGATAACACCGCGTATTCCAACACATATAACAATATCAAATTCAACACAAAAAAATGGTGATACAGCACGTAAACATGCTATTATTATGCTTTTACTTGTTGCTATACTATATTTTATTGCATTTTCACCGGCACAAATTAATTTTATTTATGTACAAATCAATCATTTACATCATTTATATGAAAATCGTTTGTTTTTTATTATATCAATTCTATTAGCATTATCATCAACAGCATTTAATCCAATATTATTTTATATATTTAGTAGATTTTTTCGACATAAATTTAATATTATTCTACGTAGTTTATGTTCAATATGTCGTGTACATTCAAGACGACAAAATAATTATCCGATGGTTTAACAAAAAATTTCTTCTTTATTATGTTGTTTTGTGAATTCATTTAAGTTTTAGAAAAAAATAAAAAAGTTGAATAGCAACATTAAATCAGAACATGTATATTATTAAAATTAAAAATACATTGAAGAAATCAACTGAGCTTGTCATTTTCATATCGGAAGTCTTCGTGAATGGTATTTGAAAGATGAATGAATGAATTATTAATAAAATAATAATTTTATCATTAATATATGACAGTTCAACCTCTTTCTTTTTTGTTGCTTCTAAGAATACCATTGAAAATAAAATGAAGAAGTCCACATATGAAAAATAATCCAAATAATTAATAAAATCCATAAATAAATCGTAAAATTAAATAAATATTCAAATTTATAATCAATCGATGTTAAATCGTCCTTAAATTAAATAAATAAATTCAATAGAAATAGAAATTTATTTACCAAATACATCTCATTTTTATGATCTATATCATGCAATTGTTCTAAAGCAATATGAAACATATATTCTTTATTAAAATGATATGAAATCCACTGGATCTGTTCTTTATTCATCTGAAACGCTGTGTGTGTATGTTAATTAAAAGAGCGCACTAAACATAATTAGATAGTTTATATATCTATAATAATATGTATTCCTATGAAAATTATCATAAAAATCACTTAATAATTTACGGAAGACATTAGGAGTAATGAAACCATAAGATTCTTCCTATGTCTACCATTCTTTCATAATTATCCACTTATTACCTGGAATGTAAAAATAGTATGTTCTTAATGGAAGTACATGGCATAGAATCTGCTACTATTAAATTATCTTATAGATAAAGAATGATTGTATCGTTTGCTTTATAATATCGATTAATAAATATATAAAACGAATTAAATGAAATGTATTTTAGGAATCATTATTCCCATGAAAAAATATCTAAATATTTTATGTTGATGACGACTATTGTTTGAAATTAACTGTCTTTTCATATTTTATAAAGAACTGAATAAACAGGTTTTCAAGTAAAATTTTAACTGATAAAACAAATAAAATTGGTCAAAGAAAAGATTAGTAAATTTAATCATGTACTATTATAGGTATTCATGCATATGAGAAGCATCACTTAAATTACAGGTTACAGTTTTATTCATTCTCTTTTGTTCAAGAAAAAATAATCTTCTTAAATCTATGTACTTCTTAAACTTATATAAGCGAGATACGAAATGCAATGCGAGACCCGATATCAGAATTACGATTATACTAGAATGCAGTCAAATTTATATACTGTCAAAATACAAGTGATACTAGTGCAACAGATAAGTTCATCTACATCGAGAATTTACAGTTTATTTGTCGGATTATCATTGATTTTAGAGAGATCTTTGCGAGGCTTACATAAATGAGATCTAAAAAACATTGTAAATAGGTAATTTTTTTTATGACAATATATATGACTTATATTCATCGTTCATATATCATTGGATGAGCGAAAATATATCAATACTTAAAATTTGAAAGATTCATGGATAACATGTGTTAAAATGAGTGAAAACTGGAGATGATTTGCTATTTCAATTAGTCATATGCTAAAAGTTGTGTTTGAATTATTATATTATATGATATACTTTTTTAAACTGAATAATCTCTAGAAATGAGTGCTATTTATTTATTTGATATTATTAAAAAAATTAAATGAACTAATATTAGTTTGTCTATGTTATAAACTTCTCATAATTATCAGCTAAATAATTTAAAAACAGTATATTCCAGTTTATTACAATATTGTATGACATCTGTCATTTGTTTGTTTATCTCTGCTGCAGTTTTGAAAAGTAATAATCTTCAGTAACAGGAATATAAGTAAACAATAATAACGTTATTCTTTTCTTACAAAGTATCTTTGAAAGATTTTGTTTTGTTATTTTCTGGATGATGTTGAATCTTCTTTTTGTTGAATATTTTTCATGATGTTCTATTCGCTTTTGAACGTGGCAATGTTTTAATAAATACAGTCATTTCACCACGTTTACTTATTTAAATACATGCCAGGTCTGAATAAACAAATAAAAATTTACCTTCCTCAGTTTCGACTTCATATAAAATTTCAACTTGCAACTTAAGGGTGTAGGGTGTGGGTAAATAAAAGATGAATTCACACCCATACTTTGAGCTGAAAATACTTACTTCCAGTCTAAGTTATGATGTTACTGGAAAGTTTACCATTGTTTCGATGGTGAATTTTGTTAGTTCCTATTGAATTGCAATAATTTATTATTTTGCAGAAGTTTGGACTAAGATTGCATCCAATAATGTTATTGGTGATCAAGAATGTCCTGGAATTGGATACAATCCGTCTACCGTTAATATAGTTCTTATCCACCAAATTATGTAAGCTAGAGTGGCAGAGAACTATGAGCACTACAAATCGTTTATTAGTTCTTACAATGTGCGAGAAGATTGAAACTGTACCATATCAAACAAACAAGCTTGTTATTTCTTGATGCATTTTCATAAGACTAAGATAAAAAGACAACTATCTGACTGTTTTATAGTAAAAATCTTGACGATTGGTGGATGTATCATATATATATCCCGTCCAGACCTACCCTCATGAAACAATATATCCGATTCTGTATTAATTGTTATATAAATTTAATTATGTTTTTCACGTTTCGAAATGAAGTCAAACATATGCGTTTATATGAATGCACTTTCGACATTATTTAACAATATTGAACTAGAGAGAAATGTGTATGAAGAAATAAATTATATGGAGATAATTTTTTAAAAGTATATTTAAGGATATAGTTTTATTTTAATCTCGCACACACCTTCAATAATAAATAAATAAATTTAAACAAAGAAGAAAATTATTACAATTCATAGATAATGCATTTTACCAAAGCACATCAAGATTTATTAAATTAGTTAGAAAGTTAAGTATTTGCAGATACATAAAGCAAAGCATTTGCTAGATTAATAATATTTTTGTGAGAATAAAGCATAATTTGTAAAGATAAATATAATTTAGTACTTGGTTTCAAAATTAAAGAACAAGAAAAACCATCAATAAATAGATATAATTGTTTTCTTTATGGAAATTAAGGTGAACAACAATGGCATGTATTCAATAAGATACTAATAGTATTCAGTGCAATATCACTTATAACAAGATCTAATTTACCATCGCCATTGAAATCACCTGAAGCCAATGCATAAGGAGCACTACTTGCTCCAGTAAATACACTAGTTTGTGTGCGAAAACTCCCATTACCAATACCAAAAAATATACCTATATTGTTCGTGTAAGTATTAGTAACAGCAAAATCTTGTAGACCATCATTATTCAAATCACCAGCAATAACGGAATCCGGTTCACTTACACTTCCAGTTGAGTGTGGCATTTGTGTAAAAAAAGTACCATTAGTACTTCCTAATAATATAACTACATTACTTGCCCAAGTATTAGCAATAACTAGATCCATTTGGTTGTCATTATTAAAATCATGGACAGCAATTGAGTTCGGTAGACTAAGTTTTCCGACAGCATAGCTCATTAATGTGTTAAAATATCCACTGCCATTATTGAGTAATATATATGCGTACTCAATGAGTGTATTGTTACCGTAAGGACCAGAATGATCGGTGACAGCAAGATCTAATCGACCATCGTTATTAAAATCACCGACAGCTATTGATAACAACTGCTGGCAAATATCCGCACAAAATGTTAATGGTGTTCCGAATGTTCCATTATTATCACTAAAAAATATTAATATATTATCAAAATTGGTAGCAGCAAGATCTAGATAACCATCATTATCATAATCACCAATAACAACTGAAAGCGGTATAAGTCGACGTCTAGTAAGTGTTTGTCTCACTTGATAAGTTCCATTCGTATTTGCAAATAATATAACTATGTTATTAGAATGTGCATTGATGACAACAAAATCTAAAAGTCCATCCCTATTAAAATCACCAACATCGATTGCAAATGGGCATAATCCGCCAGTAGAAAAGGTCGTTTTAAAATCAAATGATCCATTACCATTTCCAGACCATATATTCACAATATTATAAACACAATTAGTAACAGCAATATCTGAATGATTATCACCATTAAAATCGTTAATAATAAATGAGGGAGGTTCAAAACCATCACTATTGTTATATAAAATTATATGTTGAAACGTTAATTGACAAATTGATTCTAAGAAATAAAAATATATAAGAAGAAAACATTTTTTTAGTTGCTGTCGATTATTAATTGAAATATATCGAGAGAATTTAAACATAAAATAATAATAATTTTGTCAAAATCATATTGAAATGATTTATATAAAATATCCTCGAAAAATCTTGATATAATTGTATTATAATATACTAACCTGTAGGAGGTGAAACTGTTGTTGTTAAAATATTAATGTCCGTTGTTGGAATGATTGCTGTGTTTATTGAAGATACTATTAGAAAAAAAACTTTATATTTGATGAAATTAATAAAATGATAATTTTTAAAATAGAAAAATTCATATTCCATTCCATTTATTATTTAAAAAATGAAAATCGTGTGGGTTTGAGGTAGACATAGTAACTATTCACACTCATACTCTTATTTAAATTGATTTCAATATTTAACTTTAAATCTAAATTATGGTTTATGTAGAGAAATATTTGACTGTCAAATATGATAATTTCGCATAAAAACTAGATAATGAAAAAGCTCATACTTGTTGGTATATTGTAAGTCTCTTGTTGTCGATTAAGAAAAATAAATGTGATAATAATAGATATAATCATAAATACTAATAAAATAATACCAAATATAAAACATAACATTAGTTTTGAGAGTATTTTTGTCGTGGTAGTTGCTGATAAAGATTTTGGATTATCAATTGTATTGTAAATATCTATATTAGTCAACCCTGTAGTAATTGGTTCAATATTTGTCAATCTTGTAGTAATTGGTTTAATATTTGTCATTTCAACAGTGCATGCAGGTTCAATAATATTTTTCTTCTTCTTTTTATACCAATAAATTTTATCTATAATAGAAATTATATTTGGACAAATCATTTTTAAAATAAATGAAAGTCCAGCATATAAACCAAGTAAAATTGACATTGTATAAAGTGAATTAAGCTGTTGAATATATGTGTATAAACATGATGCTGGAGAACATTGATTATAATATAATGAATAACTAATATTTGTTAACCAATTCTCAATAAAAAGATCTTGAACAAGATTTAATATTGAAATATTCATTGGATATTGACTTAAATTTAATGAAAGTGGTGAAGAAAGATTTATCATAGAATTATTTGTATGAGTAGTATTCATTTGTTCTTCGAGAAAATGAATACATGATAAATCATAAAAACATTCCAATGTTGACGATAAAAATGATTCACTTGGTGTACAACCGATTTTTAAACCTTTTATTGGCAGCATTTCCAATGAATTTTCATTAATAAAATTAGCTTGAGTTGTACAATTTGAAATTAATGCACAAGAACATTCATTATCATAAGTAATTGCATGAGTAATTGCCATTGAAAGATTTAAATCTTTCCAAGGATCAATAAATTCAAAATTAGTTCCGTAAGAGGATATTATAGCATTGCCATGATTTATTGTTCGAATTAAAGAAAGAAGACGAGTAAATGTTATAGGAGCATTAGACTTACTTTGTTTAATAAGTAGATCAATTTGTGTACGAAAGCTTGTTTCAGAAAGAAGTTCGACAGTAACTAATGTTGAAGAAAGAAATTGATTAATTGAATCATTTACTGATTGAATTGAGAGACCACATAAACCAGAAAGAAATTGTAAATGGGGTGTGATAAAACGACGATAATCTTGAATATTATAGATAGAAAGATCAGAAACAAGATCTTTTGTAATATATGTACGCCATTCATCAGAGATAAATGAACTTGAACAAATCTTAAAATCAATGAAATATAATTATTATTTAAAATTCATACTAAGAGGATAGTCAATAATCAGTCCAGGTCAATAAATCCGATCGGATTTTGGAAAACGAATCCGAGAGATGGTCCCTATTTTCTTAATGGTGTGCTAATTAGTACCGAGGGACATTACTATAGGTAGGTCAAAAGACTATTGGATTGCTGAAAGTGGGAGGAAAGGATTCAACAATATACGAAGTATACGTTTGCACACCTCTTTCGGAGACTTTCTCTTTAGTAAAAATGAACGAAAAGGAGTTTACACTATACCTTGAATATGCACTAAAATATATTTTTTTGCCTATGATCACACTTTTCTTTAAAAACGTGTGGGTGTATTGCTATGAGTCTTATCTTTTATTGTAATCTTGTGTATTTACCTGATGAAATATAGGTTCAATATTAATAAATTGATTATAAGTTGATGAAATAGATGAACACGGACACTGAATGGTTGAACTATGATGAGTTAAAAGATCATTGTAAGTTTTAAAAGATGGTTGAGAAAAACTTTTTGTTAAAATTTGTGGTTGAATTATTGTATATAAACTAAGAATAGCTATAACAATAATAAGAAGGACAATATAAAGACGAGTAGATAATCGGCCAAGATGTTGAGCTTTCATATGATTGATATTATTTGCAAAAGATCGTTTTGGAAATATATTCAAATTAATTAATGTTACCGATAAAAATCTCATCGTATTGCATAAGAATATTTTAATTCGATTGAATAAATTAGAATTAATTTCTTAAAAGAAAAAATTAATGTTTCAAGTAATCCTTTCAAATATTTTCGTTCTAAGCTTTTAATGAATCGATTAGTTCGAGAAAAAAAGCATGAAGCAATCCCGTCTCTACTATGAATCTGTAAAAACTTGTATTTTTATGCTTGAAAATAATAATCTATAGTAATTCATTAGTGAAGTCATTGATTGAAACTTAACATCGCTTCTATTTATCGTTTTTTTAATATAAATTATATTAAAAAAAAGGCATTATGATTTATCTATATATTATTTACCTTGATCTTGTCTTCTGGTATGTCGTGTTAAGATTTTATAAACGAATTTGACAAGTTGAGGTGTGATTAGTCGTAATATAAGAATGAGACCACCAATAGTTGAAACCAATTTAATAATCATTGCAATAAAAGTAATGGTATGTGTTGTATAAGTATAACTACAATAAATAGGTGCACACGATTCATAGTAATGTTCAAATGAAGATAAAGGATTCCATTGTTCAATCAGCATTTCATTTATTATTAATGAAAGTGATGTATTTGGAAAAAAATGACTAGACGATGAATTGTATATGAGAGGATTTATTGGAGACCATTCTAAGTCATATTCATAATCGTGAAATAATCCACTTAATAAATTATATAAGATTGATAAACAAGAGTGTAAATAATAACATTCGAGTGATGAAAGAAGAAGAGTATCAATTGTAAAACATCCCTGAATCATTCCTGGTATTATATGATTTGAAGGGTAATGTTCAGAATATTCATAGTTACTTTGAATCCAATCGGGCGGAATTACGGAACTTTGACAATTAGGATTACTAGCACATATACAGTTACCACTTGTCGAATTCGTATCTTGAATGCCAGTTAAATTAAATGTCACCTAAAAAGATAATCGATCTTATGTATAAGAAAAACAAAATTGGATTTTACTCTCGTCAATAAATTCTCACTCATTTTCAAAAACAGTAGATTTATATATTAAAGTTAAGATCATATACCCGTAAAGATTGTTGATTAGTTATATTATCTATTGTTGAACTAACTGTTAAATTTGAATTGTCAAATGTTGTATAAGGTTGATCTACTTGAGTAAAAAGATGTGTCATATTAACAAGAAGATCAAAATTCGAAATTAATGATTGAATAAATTGATTAAATGTTGTTTCCGTTTGAGCATTAAAATCAAGTTCAGTAAGAACATTTAAACCAATGAGAAATTGTATATCAAAACTATGAATAGCATCAATAATCGTTTCATTAGCCAATTGGCAAAGAGTTGATAATAAACGAAAATGTCTACCATCTAAACCATACCATAAAGGAAATGTTGAAATTTCTCCATATTGTAATGCAAATGACTCAATACTGTCCAGAGAAAATAAAGCTGTTATCCATGTTTCACTAACAAATTCACTTGAACATATTTGATGAAAAGTTGGTGATACTGACATAAACTTATTATAAGGTGTTGTTACATTTAAACAAGGACATTTAAGAACATTTGGATATAAATTTTGTAAATGTTTATATGTTGCTAATGATGGATTTGGTACGTTTACTGTTACTGTTTCATTATTCATCCATGTGAATAGAATGAGAATAACAATGGAATCTAAGTTGATATAAAGTAGGCATATATTTTTCATAATAATGAATACTTCTATTCAGGGACGTATCAAGCTCTTTAGAGCGATGAGAGAAAATGTAAAATTAACAAATTCTAAAAGGGTAAGGGTGGGTGTGGTTAGTTACTATGTCAATCTCAAACCCATACGCACATCCACTCTCTATGATTAGCCTACTAATAGATTATTAAACATTTTTTTCATGATTCTCTTTTCAATAATGAAAAACATAAAGAAAGGATTCATACTTGTGAGAAAAACTAAATATATTCTTGTAATAATACGTTGTCGTTCAGCTGTGTTTATTATTTGATTTTTTTGTGACTTAAAAAGATTTAAGTGTTTTATCCATCGAATAAATATCCAAATATATGTTAAAAGATATTCTATGAATAAAAATATTTAAAAGAAACATTTGTTAGAAATAAAATCATACTATTATTATTATTATTATTTGTATTTAATGAACGATGTTTGATTTTTGAATAAATTTTAATTGAGAATCCAATCATAACACGTAATATAATCGTAAGACCGCCATATAAACTAAGTAATAATGTTATTATATGAGAAAGATTCGTATAATCCTTTTTTGTATATGTGCATACTGTAGGAGCACATTGAGAAAAATAATCTGAATAATTCATTTTTGTTGACCAGTTTTCAATAAATGAATTATTTAAACTATCTTTCAAAGAAATAATTTTTTCATTTGAAGATAAAACAATATTACTCATATTAAAATCTGTCTAAATAACAAAAAAAGAATTTATATATATATAGATAGATATATTACAATTGAGTAATAAATACTTGATTAAGACCTGGAAAATAATTGATAAATATTTCAAGACAACTAATATTGTAAAGACAATCAAGTGTACTTGAAAGAATAGCATCTAGGGGAGTACATCCTCCAAAAAATCCATCAACTGTTGAAGAAGCTATTGGTTCAAAATAAGGTGGATAATATGGCCAATATCGATGATTCATTACACTTTCATATTCTGATAATGAATAGAAACCAGATGGAACTGTAGCATGTTTGAAGGAACAAGGTGAACCCCACACAGCAGCCCAAGGTGTAGAAGCATTTTTATCGACATACATCGAGGGATTAACATTTATTTGTGGTAATCCATTATTAATTTGTATTTTAACTGCTACATTCGTATTAAGAGCCGATATAAAAGAATTTGATTGAGTTATTATTTGTAAGAAGTTCAGTGGTGAAACAAATTGAACAAGTGTTTTAGAATTAATGACTTTAATATTGTCATCTATTTGAGATTCTATTTGATTTTCTTGCAGAAGTTCAAGTGTAACAAGTTGAATTTCATTAAAATCAACCAGAGATTGATAAACTATATTTTGTGCAATTGAACAAAGAGCAGAAAGAATTTCAAACTAAATTTATAGAAAAAAAACATACTCTCATTATACATTAATCACTTGAAATTTTTATTTTATTAGCTGATTGATTTGAATTGATACTTGATTATTAATTCTATAGAAGTTTTTAGTTAATAATTAACTTACTTGAGATGAAGCTGTTGTTCGAAAATCCATAACTAAATATGTACTTGAATTTGGCATATATAATGCTTTAATCCATTGTTCACTAACAAAGATACTTGAACATATTGGCTTATATGTAATTATTGTTGAAGTAAATTTATTATAAGGAATATTTGTTGTTGTGCATGGGCATGAAAGAGATTGTCCATATTCATAATGAAGTTTAGTAAAAAGGTCAGGAGTTATATTTGATATTGAATATAATCGAGCTTGAGAATTCATTAAAGAAATAAAGAAAAGAATATAAAGAATTACTAAAATAAAAAAACAAAGAAATAAATTTATTAGGTAGATTCTCTTGTCTTTTATTATTGATGGGTGTGGGTCAGAGATGCAGAATATGCCCGTCTGTACTAATGACATTTTGAGAAAATACTAAGGGGAAAACGATTATCATTGGTGGAAATTTTTCGAAATGATGGTAGATTTTATAGCTCTGATGTTGGTAATGAATGATTATCTAATCGTATTGACACTCGTATCATATTCTCTATAATTTTTTATGAAGTAAATTATTATTAAAAATTGTTCAAAATAAATAAAATTGATTAAACTTACTGGTAAGAAGTGGGACATAAACTCGAGTTGCATATATTTGATTTTTTAAAATAATATCATGATTTTCTTCGAGATTATTTTCATCTTCATTTTCATCTTCATCAGGTATAAATAGATTATAATTATGTATTTTGTCATGAAACCATCCAAACAAATCTTTAACATACATTCTACTATGATAATTAATAGAAATTCAGTTTATTTGTTTTTCTAATGCTTTTTCAATGTTATCGACTTCTTGTACTTAGAAATCAATCGAATGAATTTCTTTATTGAATAATATTTATCAATTTATATTTAAATTAAAAGAATATATCTTAAATTAATACAAAAAAAAATAATTTACTTTATTTTAATTTATATTTTGAAAATTTTTTATGAGATAACATAAGACTAGTGTGTAAAACTTAAAACTTTTTTCTCAGACATTAAAAAGTGAGAAAAAATACCTATGTTTTTTTATAATTATTTATATTCTTTACGAAATTCATATGAAAAAGATCACTAAAATTAATATTTTCTTATATAATAGTCAAACGTCATGAACTTTAATAAACTCTACAACATGAATGATTTGTCAAACTATACCTTTGACATAAGGATCAATTCATACGATTTCTAATACTCATTTAAGTCGTTCTCTAGAAAGGGTGTGGATGAGGGCTTAGGTACAGTGATTACAGCCATACCCACCCACACCTTAATATATTTCTTCCCCTCACGACTAAAATTTGAATAAAAAAGTCATACTAAAATCTGATTAGCTATGAATAAACATATACTAAACTTCACTCAATTGAGCCATCTTAAGAATGTTAGATAGATGATGGTATATTTCGAAAATGATAAGAAACTTTCTGTTCATATTTATATTCATTTCTAATGTTTTTTAAGGTCTTCCAGTAGATGTTTTTATCTCACAAATATTAATATTGATTAAGAATGTGACATAAACGAATTGAAACTGTTTGTCTCAGTGCACCTCTAAGCTTAGTATAATCGAGTAAATTTTTTATTATTGATAGAAAATATTATTCATAATTTTAATTCTCAAGAAAATGTTGACAAAATTTTTTTTATTGTAGATCAGAAGTTTACAATGAATTTAAATTATTTTTTTTTTCAATTTCTAAGAGAATGAAACTTTTTTTATCATTATTTATTTTATGAATCTAAAATATTATTACTTCCTTATCACTGATTCAAAAATCTAGTACAGTTTGTATCGAGATAAAAACTATAAAGATCTTTATTTCTTGCATAACAAAACACACCTACTTTAGTATTAATATCAAGCTGTAAAATAAATGTGTAGACAATTATTGAGTAGAATATATTTTGTTATAGAATTGTTCATGACAACAAGTTTATATAGTGTTTCATTTTCTAGAAGTCAATTATCTGTTATGAAGAGTTTTGATGAATATGTATACAGAAAGAATAATGAGTAAATATATTCATTATTTAAAATATAATTCTATTGGATAAGTAGTTTATAAAAAAATAGTTAGTCAATCAAGAAAATAATTTAAAATTATTTAATGAGAATTTCAATAGAGGAAATGTTCAGTATTTTATTATTTCATAGAAAAGAGTTTAAATTACAAAAAAAGAAAAAAGTAAAATATAATTTGAAATTGAAAAGTTTATTTGTATAGCCTTGACGAGAATAAAATACGTAATTCATAAAATCATTGTACTTTAAAAAATATCTTAAAAGAAATGTATCCATTCACTTTTACATTATTATCATAACGTATTTTCAATGTTGATTTTATAGTATTCTATAGATTAAATGATTACGGTTAATAAACTCAACAAAAAAAAGGAAGCAAATAATTAGAGGTTTTCAGTTTATTATTTTCATTTCCTATTTTATTTTCAAAAAATAAATGTCAATTCCACATAGTTTCTATTATACATTAATTTGAAAATTAAGCTAATTGATATATTTTATTTTAATATTAAGGATTTGATATAGATTCTTATCTACAAAATCTTTTATCTAAAATTTTCTTACCAATACACAAGAACTTATCTTTCTGGTTTCACAAAAGAAAGGGTGGGTGTCTCCTGTTTGGATCCACATCCTTAAGATATAAATGGGCGCCATATATATATATATATGTATATGCAATTGTTCATGATTTATTTAACTATCAGATTTAATTTAATTCAAATGAAAAATTTCCAAAATTACTTTTTGAATAGTCTATTTCTGTTAATCATACTTTTATTGATCAAAAACGATCAATTTAACTTGAAAACTTTGAATTGTTTTTTGAAAAATAGATTCTGATATGTTGAACGACATATAAAATCTTTTTTTCTATGTTTTTTATTAATTTTATTATTGAAAAACGGCTAGTTTTTGTTTCGTTTAATACGATCGATCCAACACTTCGATCTTTTCCTTTAAACAAAGACTGTCTGCCTTTCTGACTTGCTTGCCGTCTCTTTCTCTTTCTTTTTCTCTTACATTTAACACGCAAACAAAAAAAAGATACATGTCGACGAGATTTTGAAGATAAATGGATGAAATCGATTATTATCTTTTAAAATTCTTGTTATTAATTCTTGTTTATTTTCAAATATTTAATTCTAGATTTCTTATCAATAGTCAATTTCGATCGATTAATCTACTCATCTTTAATATTAAATAAGAAGTTTTATCTTAGCACTATTTTTACTTCTGATATTTTTGTTGTAAAATCGAATGATGATTATAGTTCTGATTCAATTAATGATCCATACAAATTAATGAACAACATTACCAATAGACCAAACAACAATCGATATTAACCTATTGATCAATCAGGTCGATATATTTTTAAATATCACCAACGACAAGAAATAACCACTCGTTGAAGCCAACATCATCATCAATATTATTGTTAATCTTGCCTTTCAAGATCTCCAATGCAGATATTACGTAATAATCTAGATACAATTCATTATTTATTTGAATTAAAAGAATGATCTACGAAAGGAAAGAGAAAAGAATACTTTGCATATAGCATGTATGAAACTTAAGAGATGATCTTTGGAGATTGATATTAAATTTGGTAATGAACCTTTTAATTGATCTTATTAAAAAGAAATAATTCAAGTCTCTATTAAAACATCGTTCAACCTTTCAAATATATATCAAGTTCAAATTTTGATTTTGGTTTTGAGTTTATATTTTATTTATGATGATCTTTTTTTATCTATTAATCATTAATTTATTTTTTCTTTTGCTTATGTAGATTATAGTTGAACGAGCCTGTCTATAACACGTGTTCATAAAATGACCGAAGAAAAGTTTTTATTTAAATAATTTAATGTATCAACATATTGAAAAGAAAATGAAAATATGATCAATATACTGAAAAGAAAATGAAAACATGATCAATATGTTGAAACATAAACGTTATTTTGAAACGTAAGTGAAGTAAGC